CATTTGTTGGCTACCATGGCTGTTTCATTATGATGGGCTACGTCGTTAACAAGCCTCCTCCACATGCAGCGCTGCTGCCGCTGCTGCTGCTGGAAACGGAATTGCAGGAGGAAAAATCCCGAAGACGAGTTCTTTTATAAAACGTAGTGCTGAGAAAGTCAGCAGAGACAGAGCACGCCGCCGTGTTTGCGGCGCAGGTGTAGGTTTGTGAGTGTGGGGAAACTGAAGGGACCGGGAGTAGATTGAATTAGTGAGTAAACACTAATGTAATGAAGTACAAGTTGCGATTACTGTGGACAATATTGCGATTTGTGATTCGAACATTCGTTCTATGAGTCTACTTGCATCAAGGAATGCGTGAAATACTGACATTTTGAAATGTGTGTTTCCCAACTTGAACAAAGTTAAACAATATTCATAACGATGACTAGTAAAACTGATGTAAAACAGAACAAGGGGAGCGTGTTGCTCTACAGAGGAGGCGGCTAGAAGCAGCACATATTTGCACACCGGCTCAGCATACATCTGTCTAATGCAGAGTCTCTATCCACAACCTGGAGGAGGAGGAACTGTACACGAGTGTATTAAATCAAGAGTATAATGTTTAGTTAATAGTTTACTGTTAGTATAACAATACACTATAATAGTATACTTTTTTACCACTTGGTGAGTATTAAAACCAGTAGCAGCTGTTTCATTTCTGTGGGTAGTTTTTTAAAACTTAGTCTTTGTGCAAGCAAAAGGCTCCTCATCGGTCTCTAATTTAAACTCTTAGTACTAACTTGTCAATTATTATATTGTTCAACATTTAATGATTTGCTGTAGCACGTCAAACTTGTCCCGCCCCATCCAGGCTGTGTGGCCGTCAAACTTTATAACTCCTCCCTCTAAGTGTCTGACACACTGTTTTAAACTGGACATTATTATCTGTTTTGTGCAATAACACCTGCTTAAATACTAAAGTGCAATACTATCTGCTGCTACTATTTATTCAGTATTACCGTTCGCCATAACAAATCCTTAATTATGTAAATGCTGTACATATCCACACTCCTTTATATTTTCTTTATTTTATATTTTTACTCTGATATTTATATACTTCTCTATATACCACTATCTTTATATATATTTCTTTTTGTGCCCTTTGTGCAATGTGTGCAACTGTGACACAGAATTTCCCTTCGGGGATCAATAAAGGTTGGTTGGCTGACGATTCTGTGGGAAACAGACGTACAAAAACACATTAATGTTAACATACTTTGACTTTAAGCTTTCCCTAATCAAATATTTTGTGAAGACGTGTGGATTAATATCACGGTGACCAGTGTCATGCTTTTAGTATTGTCTCATTCTCACTCTGAATGTCACCGCCGCTTCAGCTTCACGCTTGAACTATCACTTGCTGAAACACACACCAACAGTCTCTCTTTAATGAGCACAATAAATGCTTTCACAATTAATCAAAATGTGACGTCTGCTTGAAGGGAACTTGCTGCCGTCCCGTGTATTTGTCATATGGATGCAGTCATACTGTGTGAAGATGTATTGTTGAATGTGTGAGATGACACAGTCGCCAAGCCGATGCCGCTCGGGCAGTGATGCTCGTCTGATTAGTCTGTTTTTATTTCTTTTTCTCATTTGGTTTCCTGTCACTCGGGCCGGCTGCTAATCTGCTAACTGTGTACATTCCGCCGCACACAGCCTCACAGGGATCCGGGGGAGTTATTTCCTTTTCCATTCAATTAATCAATTTAATCATGATCCACAGTCGCCACGTTAATGACTGTGGCACACATTAATGGGAAGGAAGTGTGTGTGTTTGGGCCTGCATGGCGGTGAGGTCTCAGCTGACTCAGTTGAGGGATGCTTGAGTTCTGAAGACTTTTATTATTAACAGAGGCAGTTAGTCACGAGATGACTGTACTAAACTGTGGAAGGCTGATCACACCGATTTTCATTTGAACATTTACGTAGGAAATATGCCTGTCCTGCTCTGTTGGGAGGGAGCAACAGGAGAAACGGAGAAACGAGTTTCAGCCACAGGCGGTATAAATGCAGTGGACGTAGCCGCCGTGACATCACCCGTTGGTTTGCAGACTACCATTCTGAAGACTTTGGCATTTTGGCCGTCGCCATCTTGGTATTTTTGGAACCAGACGTGATCATAGTTGGATGAGAAGGTGGAGATAGCTTTCTAGGTTAGCAAGGTGCATCGTAATTACTGTTAACTGTGATTTAACTGGGATGCAAAAAACTCCTTATTAAGCCTTTTCAGCGGCGCTGATTGAATGTACACAGAGCAGCCGGCCTGTTGTCATGCTCAGGCGTCACATATACACGCTTTGGGAAAAACGTGGCTATTGTACGCAAAACGGCGATTTTGCGTACACCCCCAGGTTCGTGTATGAGTGTGACCAGAAATGCTAATAGCGCTTCTGGTCGCTAAGTAGCTAGCTAGCTAGCAATGTTTGTGTTTAAGGAGTTGACAGTCCTCCGAGGCAACTTACCCTAACCTTAACCATCACAGAAGTTAGTGCCTAAACCTAAGTCAGTAAATATATGTACGTCAACCGTTTTGCAAGTAGGGTTAGCCTCCTTTGTGTTGCAACGCTATTGCAAACTGCTGCATATCATACACACGCAAAATCGCCATTTTGCGTACAATAGCCACGGTTTTTCCAAAGCGTGTATTGAGTGAGTCGCTAGGGATGCAACGATTATAGATTTTGTTGGTACGATTATAGTCAGAGGATCACGGTTTCACGATTATTATGCATTAAATACTTTAACAACACTTGTAATTAAGTTGATTTTTAATGTAACCCAGTATAAATAGTAGAGTATAAAAGAGTTCATTAAAAGTCAGTTCATATTGATGAACAAGGCCAAAACATGGTGATGTATTTTTGTTAAAAACTATTGTACATATGTTGTACGCTAAACAACTCTAAAAAGATAATGTTTAGTTAAAAACATGTTATGAGGAGTTCATGGTTTTTATATGCAACTGGTAAATCTGTGGTAATTGTGCTGGAGTCTAATAGTGGGTTGGGAGATTTGTGTTAGCTCTGCTGATGAAGTAAAGTCAGAAGTCTTTAAAGAGGTGGTATTCTGCTCATTTTCAGGTTCAAAATCTAATATAGAGGTTGTACCAGAGCAGGTTTACATGGTTTAATTAAAAAAAAATGCCATTTTTTGTCATACTGCACATTGCTGCAGCTCCTCTTTTCACCCTGTGCTGAAGGCTTCGTTTTAGCTATGGAGTGATGCATCTTGTCTCTAAATGATCTTTGTTGGGAGTTGCACATGCTCAGTTCCTAGTTAAGGACTACTAGCCAATCAGAAGCAGAGAAGGGCGGGTCAGCGAGAAGCCGGTAAACGGCTCGGGTTCAGCCATACGTGTTGCCGACCGGCTTGGCAACACGGACTGGAGCGAGAGTTTCAGAGCGGTGAGTTATTAATCTGTATCCATAAAGTTTTAACTGAGCTCTGTCTCTACATCACAGGAACAACTTCATGTCCACTGACTGCCTGGAGGGTAGCTAGTGTTTGGAAGGGAGAGGAGAGCTGTGTGCTGCAGCTCGCTGTTTCTGAGGGCGTGTCGGAGTCGCCGCTTGGCGAGCGTTATATGAGGTGCGTTTAGCTTTCATCCCTGTGACGTCACAGTATATGTTAAGTAACGTTAAATGCAGCTACTATGGAAATTGAAAAAATAGCGTAGTGTGTCACAACAGCACCGAGTGTCTTGTTAAGCTAAACGATGCGTTGTTTCATGACTCAAATGTTGTGAAGATGATGCACTTTGCTCACTTTTAGCTCTCACTATGACAAATTGCTTAAAACAATACACTGTATATTCACGCAAAACCAGCAGGCCACTTTTTGTCCCTTATTTCATAGTAACAAAGTTGGCAACACTACGTTAGAGAGAACGCAGGTTTAAGGCACCTTGGGCAGCTTCGGCTTCACTTTTTAGACCCCGTTTGGTTTCAGCAGGCGAGATGTAAGGGGGCTCTGGCTGAGATGACACGATAGGCAGTATGTGACTTGACAAGTGTGCTGTGGAAACTTGAAGCCTCCTGGTCACAAACACTGAGCGAAGCAGCTGTTAACCTTTAGAAATGAACAATATTTACATATTCAGAGACTCTGGGTTTCCTGACGAGGAGGAGGAAATGTCATTTTTAGAATTTTCCACAAGGTAACTGAACTTTTTGTTGTCGGACACAAATTATCATTCAAAGGAGAGTTTGTTTATATGTCTGCAGGGGACCTTTAAACTCATGCGGGGGGGGGGGGTTACATCAGTACACCACAGCATGTGTGGACAAAGGAAGGACTTGAGGCAGGAAGAAGGGAACCAAAGACGCCGGGAAGTCAGAAGCCGTTTCTTTAAAAGCGGTTCACTGCAGTTGGGTGACGTAATGAACCAACAGAGAGTCAGGAGGCAGAAGGAGAGGTGGTGGGGGGGCAATGAAGGCCAAAAAAACCAAGGATGGATCCTGCTTGGTATCCATGGAAACGGTGGTAGATGCGATCACTATTTCCTCCGAGGTTTTTCTGATGAGCTCAGGGACCGGGGCCCCCTAAAGGCTGGATAATAAACTGCGCCGTCTGGCAGTTAAACTGCTGTGGGAAGAACGGAGAAGGAGGAGGGAGCTAATGAGCGCATGGATTAACTGCTGCCAGCTAACAGTCAGCGGACGGAAAACACCCGCCCACATGCATCCCCTGTTTGATTAGATGTAATCCCAGGGGCTCAAATGGGAAGATTTCTGTAACTGTTGATTCATTGTTGAATTTTACAAACACGTGTGAAGTGCGTGGACAGAAACAGAGGAGATAGAAAGAAGAGCAGGAGACATGCCACTTTCATGAGGGAGATATTGTACTTTTTAATTAATAATATAATTAGTTAATTAATAAGTTTAATTACCCAAAAGTTTATACAAGTAAAGCTGAAATGTTTAGTCTGTTGACGGAAAATAAATTGGCAACTATTTTGATCAAAGTTTTTTTATGATTTGAATGTTAGTTAATATTGTAGATGTTAGGGGACGGGACAGAAAGAACCCAAACGCAACACTCAGAGGGAAGGAGGTTTTATTGAGGGTTCACGGAGGGGGCTAGGGAAGAGGTGAGGGAGGAGAGGTGGACGCCAGGGGACGCGGGCACGGAGGACCGAGGAGCAGGCGAGGCACGGGTGGTGAGGCGAGGAGCAGGGAGGAGCCGGGAGGGCGCCGTGGAGGAAGCCCGAGAGGTGAGGAGCGGAGGATGAGCCCAGCCGACTGAACGGATGACGAGGGTGAGTGAACCTGGGAGGGAAAACAGACAGAAAGACAGGGTTAGTGACCGGAGCGACAAAATGCAGGGAAAAAGAGAAAAAACAAGGAACATGAGAGCCTGGACGTAGAGGTGGCACCGGGTAAGGAGCAACGACGATCAAGCGAGGATGGTGTGGAGAACCGGGGTTGAAATACTGGCTGGGATGAGGTTGATTACTGGCAGGTGTGGCAGGCTGACGAGGTGGCTGATGAGGTGCAGGTGCAGGTCCAGCTGGGCTCAGGAGCTGAGGGAGAGAGGAGGAGAACACAGGGAGGCAGGCAGAGCAAAACAATGGGTGAAATAAAGTGAGAAAAAAAAAGTAACACCAGGACACTCACCGTCAGCTGGGCTGTCCCCATAACAGTTGAGGTTTGGACTGTTGGTTGGACCAAACAAAGCGTTGTGAGGGTGCCACTTTGGGCTTCTAGGGAAACTGACGGCAGAACCTTTACAAACCAAACAACTGATCGATCAATGGAGAAAATAATCAACAGAGGAATTCATAAGGAAAAGAATTATTAGCTGCAGTCTGATACTAAACTGTTGAGAATGAGCTCCAGCTCAACAACTACAGCAGCAACATCCTGCTTTACATTAATGCATAAGGAATAATACTTATGATATAATATATAATAGTACAACAGTAACAGGGGACATTTTATTTTATTGAGAACCTTTAATACTTTTCGTACATTTTCCTGATTATACTTTCACCTGTAACAGAGAACTTTAAAGGAGACGTATTAAACTGCATTTCCAGTCCTGTATTGTAGTTCTGTGACTCCTGTGTGCAGCTTTGCATGATTCAAAGTTAAAAAAGATATTTTATTTTCTTATACTGACTCTTCATGTAGGCCAGTGGTCAGCAATAGGCGGCCCGCGGCCAGATTGCTTTGATAGCAATAGTGATTGTGCCTCTAAAATAAAAGCGCAAGAATGTATTTTGCAGCAATGCTTCATGTCGAGTTTATTAAGAGCTTTTACTTTGAAGAGTTCTGAAGGAAATTCAAAAGAGTCTCTGGCCTGCCGTCAGTAAACGTGTGATTGGATTCCCCTGCATTTTATCAGGGAAATGAAAATAAGTGTCCACATGTTTATGAATGCGGATCAAACGCGGATGTGAGCATGTGCAGAAGTGTCCTTTTATTCAATTTGTTTGTTTTAAGGTAGAAAAAAATATCCGCAATAAAAAAAAGATGTAATCGATCTCACAACCTACCCGTCGGGAGTCCCGCACAGCACCGACTAAGCTAAACGAGCACGTGATTTCACACGGTTTGTTCGCTTGGAAGATTTTGGCCCGATGCCAGACTTATTTGCAGACGCCTGATGTAGGCCTTCATTTCAGCCTCTGTCTGAACCAAGCTGTAGATGCTCCTGTCTCTTTAAGGACAAAGCCACTGTCTTCTCATTGGCCAAGACCTGAAGCATGTTACCAGGCTGTTGTTGTTGCTGGGCAGAACAGGCAGACTGAGCCGTTGCTGTGGGACCATATATGGAACAGCGGCTCCGTCTGGCTCCTGGTGTCGTATTACGGAGCCGTTGGTAGGAAAAGCAGTTGAAATCTGAGGTTTTTGCTCACAGGGATTTCTTTTAAATACTTTAACCTAATTTTTTTAAGCTTTGGCCATGTTTAACATGAACATCCTAGATTAAAACACTTTAGAAAAGTCATAAAATGTGGAAAAGCGTAATGGGTATTAGTACTTTTACTGAGGTAAAGGATCTGAATACTTCGTCCACCGCTGGACGGGCGTTGATGCTAAAAGAGAAACCGTCCCTCGGCCAGTATCTGCAGAGGCAGGACAGATGTCCCTTTCTTCTCCCTCACAGGTGCTTTGTTTGTTCTGTACGGCGTATTTATTCTGGCTGAAGCTATGTCGGGCCATTTTAAGTGCTCACCTGACCGGCAGACGGGTTATCAACAGCAGAGCAGAAGCAGGCAGAGGAGCAAAGGTCTGCCTGGGACTGATAAGAAAAGCAGATGGACGGAGGAAGAGAGAGGCAGACAGAAATAGAGAGAGAGAGACGAAGTGGACATACATTCACACTCTCACCCCCTCTTATCTCCTTTCTTCTCTCATCCTTTGCAGAAAACTGCTCTAAGGAATAATCTGCTGCTTTCTTTATTAATTTTTTGTAGTTTTGCAGTTTGTTTCATCCTCCTGCGCTCCGTCCTTTTGTCTCCTCTCTTTGTAAATCTGAGGTTTAACTCCGTCAGCGGTCCGACCAGGAGCGTTAAGACTGTCCTCAGCATCAGTTATTTCAGCAAATTCGCCAAAACGACATCTGCTTATGCTCGGCTGACAGCGCCATCTAGCGGCTGTAGGGATGACGTCTGTCAGGAGCAAAACAGGAAGGTTTTTATAGAGACCCACAGAGGGCCGGTTTCCTACCAGCTGTCAAAATTGGTTTCTTTTGACCACCGCTCACTAACCTTAACCTTAATTTAACCCTTTCCTAAACCCTATCCACAGTGCTTACATGGTGGTCGGCTTGTACAAAGCCCCACCAGGATCTTTTCATTACCTGAACCAAGTGTTGCAAGTGAAACATAATCATATTAAAAATATTTGTATTATCATTCTTCAGTTGTTACAAAGGACAACTAAGGAGATATGCTGTTAATAAACATGTTAGTGATGCTTTCAACATTTTGCTTGATGCATAACGTTGATTGTATGTTTGTATATGAATGAAACTCACAGGAGACTGACTTCACAGAATACAAAGTGGACCCGTTCAGACTCCGATCAGGTCTCGGTTCCTGGAACCTAAAGGACATATTCGGACATCTGATGTAGAACTGTGCTCAAATCCTACAGAACAGCTTTTGTTCTCGTTGCACGTGTCTTTTTTAAGTCCATGCTACCACACGCACACAGTTCTCTTTGGCAAAGGCTGTCTGAGGTCAGGACGGTGGGACTTACTAAGGATGATCTTCAGCTGGTGGGAAATGGAACATGTGGACTTCTGTATGGGCACATAGTCGGAGATTTAAGACCAGAGAGACCTCTTGTCCGGATCTCTCTACCAGCTGTGACACCTCTTCAAAGACCTGAGTGAATTATTGAACACGCCGCAGTGGCTGGCAGCTCTCCTGACCGCTGCGAAGGCGAGAAGACGGATGGTGTTTCCATTTAAATGATTGACCCAGCCTCGCTGCTGGCATTTTGAATTCCATTTGAACCTCCAGTCTGAAATCGTTTTGGATTTGTGAAGGCATGAGTCATTCACTAACCAGGCACAAGACTGCCACTCATCAATTCTGTATAGTGAAGCTTGTTTCTTACATGACAAGTCAGATTTTAATACACTTCATATGCTAAATGGGGCATATTCACCTGCCTGTGAGCTATTACTGAGGGGATTTGTGTCAGCCGGTCGTGTCATTTTGATGGTCCGTGTGTCGTTTTGCTGGGAATACAAAAAAAAGCTTAGCGTGGACAAAATGTGGGTGTGATGGATGTATGTGTGGAAGCAAGGGCTGATGAATGTGATTAGAAAACCATAATAGAAAAGAAAAACAGCAAGAGAAAGAGCACATGCGTGGGAGGGAAGAAATTCTTCTCTTTTCCTTTTCTGCAGAGTTGGCCTGCCGCCTTTGGCAGGGAGGAAGATTAGAAGGGTGTTTTGGAGTTTGCCTTTTTGTTGTGGTTCTGAATCCTCACCGTGGCCAAATTCAAGCCTTCGGCTGACTCAGGCTGTTAGCTTGATGCAGCTTTTCATCCCCGACTATCCCAGGTTATCAACTCGGCTTTTTGCTAGCACACAGGGAGCCCGGGGAGGGTCTGGTTGATAGTGGGTGGTGATAAGATCCAGTGTCAATTTTTTTCTCAAGCGTAGCCCCCGGCTCCTGGAGCCCCAGACTGATTCGGATTGGTCTTTGTAGATAATCTGTTTGAGGATGTCCTCAGGGCTGTGTAACTGATCAGCTCGGGGTCACAGTAGCATTTGAAATCCCTTCAAATCCTTTAAACAGAAACCAGCTATCTGCCAAAATAATCAGTCAGTACACAATAGGAGGGTTTTTGGCCACCCGTCAGTCACCAGAGTTCCTCCCAAGGTCGAGGCAAGAAGGGCCTGGAACTGTCCAGAGGACGTGAATTGATTTACAAAGTCTGTTGACAGTTAAGCTCACTTCCATTTTCATAGCATGTTGAAAGCTGAATATTCAGAGTACTTGTGACTAATCGGATCTGTCTCCTTACAAATCGAATACTGAAAATAATGCTTCCTGTAAAGACTATTTAAATTATTTTCTGCTTCCATAGGTGTAGTGGTGTGTGTATGTGCAGGTAGATGGCGTAAACACTGTGTGTGGGTGGCTTACTGAATACCTATCTGCAAATATGTATCAGTGCACATGTATTACAGTCTTTCGTGAAACTTCAGGGGCTCCTCGTCCAGGGCAATATACCAGGTGAAATGGCAACAAGCCTTAAGAGAATTGCTGAACAAACCCGGGAAATAAATGTTCCTTTGTTTGCTGTTGCTCAAATTTGTATGTAAGTAAATGGATAGTAAAGCACCTTTCTAGTCTTTACTCTACATGTCACATTCACCCATTCACACACTGATGGCAGAAGCTACCATGCAAGATGCCAGCTGCTCATCAGAAAGGAAGTAATCATTCACAGCCATCAGGCTTTTTTTTCTCTCTCCAATTTTAAGGCCAAATTTATTGTAAGAGTACGTAAATGTGTGCCCACTGCCAATGACTCATTTCAACCTCTCGAAAAACTGCTTCACACCATAATGCAAAAAATCACATCACACTTAGTGCTATCCAATGGAAACATGCAGGACAGTCGAGCACTTGGCCTTTTCTCCTATTTATTGAGAAACAAGGGGACATTTCAGTACATCCAGGCCACACAGTTATCCTTGCTCGTCCATTTGTTTCTTCACACTTTGCTGTTTGATGTCAGGTGTTCTAATCACTGCCAAAGCACAGGTTAAACTTACAGCAGTGATCCTATGACAAACCAAAGGGAAGCATCCCTCTCAGGAACTGAGAGAGCAACTGTCAAAATGAAGAGAGCTTCTCATACGGTGGACACTGCGACCACCACACCAAATGTAAATAACTGGCACCGGTTCAGAGTGATGGCATTTTGAGTTGGGCGATGAAAACGGCCGCCGCCACTCCATAAAGGGCTGTTCCGTCCATGTTGAAGTTGATCCCAATCAGCAGCAAGAAGCGAGTGATTCTTCTATCAATCAACGTTGCCAATATTAATCCTGTAGTAACAGACAGAAGAGTGGTTGAGACAAAGTTTACTGCTGCACGTACACAGATTTTCCATAGGTCTTCAGAATTGTTCCCAAACCAACGCCCAGGAGAAGAGCGACCATGGTCGTAACCCTCCATTTTCGTAGAGTCTGTGTTACCCAAAGATTGACAAACAAAGTTCAGTAATGGGATCTTGTATTGTGGTTGAGTTGAGTCGCTTCAGTGTCTGTTATTATGTTGTGTTTCAAAACCACCAATCTTCTGATTAGTGAGCGACCCGCTCCACTGCCAAGCCTCAGCCGCCCCATGTACTTGGCTAAATGTACTTTGTTACATTTTATTACATAACTTGCAAATGTAATATAAAATCGACACCACTTTATGCTCAAGACCGGAACTTCTCAACACAGACCTGTGAGTTGTGATCAAGTTTCAACTAATATGACAGTTATTACTTAGCAGCAAACCAAAAATTACAGATAGCTGGCGCTTTAATCTTTGATTAAACTGACTGGACAGTTGATTCGGTGGTTGCCTAGCAACATGATAAAAACGCAGCGCTTTTCTCTTTTCCAAATTCAACCAAAAAAAGTCATTGCTGTGCGTCTCGCGTTTTCTTTGGCGTTAGCGGTTGGCATTACCGCCACCTGCTGGATTAAACAATGTAAAATATTTACAGTGTTCACCCAAAGTGATTCCATTCACAACTGTAGTCCGTCTAGTCATTTTTAAGTTATTTTATTTTCTATTTTTGTGTCTATAGTAGCATTTTCACGACCCCCATGGGACCAGGTCCGACCCCCAGCTGCTCCAGAGCATTCATGACATGCCACCTGGCTGTGGTGCTAAGTAAAAAGTGCAGATAACTAAGATGTCCACTCGAGGCACAGCTCTGATCCAGGTGGAATTTATCCATATTGATGTTGCACTAATAGAGTATTCATTACTCATTAGCAGCAGTCAAACTGTCAAATCAATAAGACCTTTGCTTTAATAACAAGCCAGAGCCAAAGCAAACCCCTTGTTTAACAACAGCGCTGCACACTGGAAGATAAAATCTCAGCTATAAATCTAAAAGACTGGGAGACCGTAACCTCAGAGTCCATATCTTACAATGTAATTTCCTAAAACTGGTTTCACAGTGAAGTTGAAGTTTACATGCCAGCGTATTGGATATAGTGACACACACCAAGAAAATGCTTTTGTTTAAGAGTAAATTTTCCCTTTTTATGGTAGTTTTCATTTCAGTCTGATGCACTGTATCTTTATTATATTAGGCAGTAAACACAGTGGACACATTGACATGATGGCCTGATCAGCAAAGTTACTGCATTTCATCCTGAGGGAACATGAATGTCTGAATCACATTTCATCACAATCCATCCAACAGTTGTTCATATATCCAATTAAAAGGCCTGCAGCCTTTTTTATGTTTAGTTTTTGAAATGAAAGAAAAAACACTTAGTCCATTCTTTTATATTTATGTAGGTTTATTTCTGGCACCAAAGCAAATTCCTTGTAATGGTCTAGGCAGATGGACCCTGAGTCATGGTTCTGTTCAAGGTTTCTCTACTTCCTAAAAGGGAGTTTTTCCTTTGCCTCTGTCGCCAAGTGCTTGCTCATGGGGGGAATTGTTGGCTCTATGTAAATATTATTATAAATCAAATTGTGTGTGTAAAAACTACTTGGCAATAAAGGTGTCTCTGATTCTGATCTAACCGTTCATTGTCTCTCACGCTCTCTCTCCAGATGGAGGACATGCAGTGGCCTCGAGGGGAGCAGGACATTCCCACCTCGGTGTGCAGCCTTCCCTGTAAAACCGGTGAGAGGAAAAAGGTGGTGAAAGGCATGCCCTGCTGCTGGCACTGCGAGCCCTGCGACGGCTACCAGTACCAGTACGATGAGTTCACCTGCAAGCTCTGCTCCTACAACATGAGGCCCAATGCCAACCGCACTTCGTGCCAGCCTATTCCCATCATAAAACTGGAATGGCACTCACCCTGGGCGGTGATTCCAGTTTTCCTGGCAATGCTCGGGATCATCGCTACAATCTTTGTCATGGCTACGTTCATTCGGTACAACGATACACCGATTGTCCGAGCGTCCGGCAGGGAGCTGAGTTATGTTCTCCTGACTGGGATATTTTTATGTTATATAATCACATTCCTCATGATCGCCAAGCCGGATGTTGGCGTGTGCTCGTTCAGAAGGATTTTCCTGGGTTTGGGTATGTGCATCAGCTACGCGGCCCTCCTCACCAAAACCAACCGCATCTACCGAATCTTTGAGCAGGGCAAGAAGTCCGTGACGGCACCCAGGCTGATCAGCCCCACCTCACAGCTGGCTATCACCTCCAGCCTCATCTCAGTCCAGCTGTTGGGGGTGTTTATTTGGTTCGTGGTGGATCCACCCAACACCATCATAGACTATGACGAGCAGAAGACCTTTAACCCGGATCTAGCACGAGGGGTGTTGAAATGTGACATCACGGATCTTCAGATTATCTGTTCCTTGGGTTACAGTATCTTACTGATGGTGACGTGTACTGTTTACGCTATAAAGACCCGCGGGGTCCCGGAGAATTTTAATGAGGCCAAGCCCATCGGGTTCACCATGTACACCACCTGCATTGTATGGCTGGCTTTTATACCCATTTTCTTTGGCACGGCGCAGTCTGCGGAAAAGGTAAGAACCAATGAGTGAATGGGCGGAGATTAAGTTGAATGGGTGGATGAAAGATATGTAGAGTAAATGTAAATGATCTGTATTTTTATAGCGCCTTTCTAGTCTTTGGGACCACTCAAAACGCTTTTTACACTACATTGCATTTACCCATTCACACACCTTCCTACACCGATGGAACAGCCATCGGGGGGCTTCAGTATCTTAACCAAGGACACTTCAACATGAAGCGAAATGAGTAGAGATTCAGGCAGTTTCATAAACCGTAGGATGGCTGATTGATTGGATACAACTGTCATGTTTCCAAGAAACTTTATTTTTTACAAACATAACCTTCTACAGTTGTGCTGAAAGGATTAATCGATTTAAAAAATAAATAAATATTAATCAACAATGCATCTATTTCAGGGTATATTCAGGAATCCTGAAGTAAAATTCAATACCATTTTAAGACCTTTTCAAGACTTTTTCAACATATTTTAAGACTGCCACGACACTTTGAGCTAACGGATTAAATCAGCCACACACCTTTTAAAAGGGACATTTGAGTTTTTAAAAGGAATGTAAATTATAACATATTTATTGCCTATATGTCATCAGGTTATAATCCCACCTAAAAATTGAGGCATTCACCAACTTTCTCAGTTGCCTATAACAGCCTGTATGAGCCAACAGTTTTCTATGTGAAGGACAGATTTCCTGTAAAAAGCAAATGCTTACATAAGCTATGACTTTTATGTACACAATATTACAGCAAATCATGTGAAACACAGTGTAATTTTGTGTTTTAGTTGGTTTAAACTAGATAATGTGAGCTTGCCTGCAGTGATGTGTGTGATAACTTTCATCGACCACTTGATTAATACAACAAAATTCAAACAGGCCAGGAGGGAACAAAGATGAAGAGAATAAACTGAGTGATGAATAACATGAATAACCTAAGTAGTGTAGGCGGTGTAGCACAGGCACAACCTGGAGGAGGAAGTAGTCTAAATGACTGTATTAGTATAATATAACATTAAATTGAAAGTATATTGTGAATTTAATAGTAAACTTTTAAGTTTGATATTAATATATTTATTATGTTACTATATTCAATATAATTTCATATAATATAACTTACCACTAGTACAATATTAATTCAAATTACAGCTGTTTCAGTTTGGGGTTGTTTTTTATTCATTAACTTTGTGCAAGAAAAATGCTCCAGGCTACATGAGAGTTTCCAACCTTGATTTTGGGCTACTAACTCGTCAATAATCATAACCGTTTATGCAGAACAATGAGTTCAACATTTATAAAGTTTGTTGCAGCACATCAAACTTTTGTTAAATCCCGCCCCATCCAGGCTGTTGATCTGTTCACAAAAAGTGACACTGACGAAAGTATCAGCTTTTGAAAAGTTGAACGTGTTTCAATAAAAAGCACCGATTTAGCTAAATAGGCAGCAAACATTATCGAAACCCACACGCTCCTCGGATTCTCCCTGTTGTCTTCTGTCTTACCGATTTCAGCTGCTGGCAGTGCATCTCGCTCTTGTTTTTCAGGAACAAGCCTGTTCAGGTGGCCACAGAGCGACTGGCCAACCGGGTTAATCCCGTTACTCCTGATCGCCACTCCGACTATGTTTTGGGAGATTACTGTCTGTTGTACTCTTAAATCATTTTCCGGTTCGCACAGATCTATTTTTTGGAGCTTTTAAGAGTGAAAAGTGAACGTTACAGAAACAAATCACACAGTTGCTACTCACTGCCTGTCGAGTAGTTTTGGCTATGCATTATAAACAAATACGTTCACCTACACTTTTAGCAAACAAACTTTTGAACAAACATGATTTTCGTCATTGAAAAAATATCTTCAAAATTTAATTAAAAAATGGCCTTAATTTTCACAAAATTGATTTATAATCTTTTAAGACTTTTTAAGACCCCGCGGACACCCTGTATTTTGAAATTAATTCAGTCATTTTTCAAGCAGTAAAATGTCAAAATAATTGCTAGTTCCAGCTTCTCATATGTAAATATTTGCATTTTTTGTTTTTACCTTGATGCATTGTTAGAAACAAATGTGCAGTTTTAAAGACATGACACGAACACCAATACAGTGTTTCAATTTGCAAAACAGCAAACGTCCCAAAAGGTGTTGTGTTGTCATGCAATTGAGATTCTGGTGTCTAAATAGAAGATACTGCAACAAAACACTAAACAGCATACATATACTGTGTGTGTGTGTGTGTGTGTGTGTGCGCGTGTGCGCGTGTGTGTGTATAAATAAATATAAATAATAAATAGACTGAAAATATTGTGAGCAGAAAGTCCTGATCTGAAATGTGCGCTGTTAAAGGTTCTGTAAACCATGTTGTCTGTGTGATAGTTGTGAGAATCGAGAAGAATTCAGTGAATGCATTTGCAGCTTACATCACATTTGGCATAGACGCACTGAGTCAGAAAAACTGATCATTTTTAAGAAGCTGAATTCAGTGAGTTCTGTTCCACAGCCTTTACTCCATAACTTTCACAATTAGCCACAAAAAATATATAATATAAAAAACATTTTCCTCAGTTTTGAAACAAGAAAATAAAGCACACATTTGTTACGTTAAAATTACAAATCACCAACAAATTGCAATATAGCAAAAGCCCATGTCAAGCAGAGCATTACTGCGTCATTCCTAATGAGTGACTATCACTGCTGTGTCCCATTTTATCAGCCTAAAGGCTTCCAGACGAGCCCGATCTGCCACCAGAACGTAATCTCATTCCCATTCGTGCAGCGAGACTAAGGCTTTGATATGAAGCTCAATATTCCACATTTTGCAGTGAAATAACAGATATTAAAAACGGCAGTTATGATGTTCTTGTTTTGTTTTACAAGTGTAAGAATCCAGATGAAATTTAATGTGCATGTCGCTGGTAAAATATTGCAGTAAGAGAGTGACGTTTTTCTTATTATCTGTTTGTTAAGACCCCGGGCATTGTTTGTTCTCATCAGCTTCTTGGTCCTGATGAAGCAATTATAGTGTGGAGATTTAATAAAGGAGAACAGCTGCAATCCCCAGGTGCTAAGTTGTGTGTGCATATGTGGCTACACTCCTCAGAGACTGGTATTATTGTGTTGTCGCCGTTGTTTTTGGGTTACAACAGGTTATTAAAGCTCCCAGAAGCTGACACAATTAGCTCACCAAACGCTGAAGGCTGACATTTTGTTATAATGTGAGGAACTTTATGGGACGTTGGAAACTTGTTTTGAAAGTTCTTACTTGTGACCTTTTACATCTTATCACACTAAGATGAAAACTATTGCTAAACGAAATGAGTCTGTGCATTTAGGTCTCTGTGAAATGCAATCTGCCGAGCAGTGTTAATAAGCTTTAGCAAAACTCCATCAGGCACTACAGGGATAAATAATGATTATGTGAGCTCTGTGAAACTCGTTTGTGCCCCCACAGATCAATTTAACTTGTTTGTTTTTTCAGGATACTTAAAAAATTTCATTCTCCTTGTTGTATTATTTATAAGGAGGGAAACATAGATGTTTGTCGGTCATTACGTTAATGTATTAATGCATATTTACTGAATCCATACAGCCTAAGTGGCTACCACTTGTTGCAATGGGTCTTTCTTACAGTTTTTTTTACAATACGTTTCACATATTTCTCTCTACAGAGTTCAACTTTTCAAAACTCTTCACAGCTTTGATAATTTGTCTTTACCAACCTGCAGCTCAGCAAAGCAGTTAATTGCACAAAACACAACCAAAACACTCCAGATACATCTCAGGGTCAACTCTTTTGCCAGAATACCGACAACATTTGTATCCCAACAATAAAACACCAACCAAGTCCAATTAAATTTATAAAAACGCTTTTCTCTTTTTTAAACAGTAGTTGCTGAACAAAATGCCCTTGCAGGGAAATTAGAAATACAACTAAAATAATTAGGAGATGAACTGTAACAGACAAAATTAAAACAATCTACTATTATATTAATATTTATCTAAAATGCAGTGTTCAACCACTGAAGGGAGGCTAGTACACCAGTACAGGGGAGGTGTGGGAGACATTTTTATGACCAGTAACAGGAACCTCTGTCCTGCTCTCATTAGCTGGAGAAGGTTTTTGACCATCCAGCATCTCAGATCCTCAAGACACAACGTAAAAGATGTGTTTTGCGAAAGTATAGCAGCGTGTCGTCTGCATAGCAGTGATATGGGATGCTGACTTTTCTTAAAACTGACCCCAGTGGAAACATAAAATGAAATTAAAATAGGGTCTAAGATGGAGCTTTGAGGAATACCACGGGAATCAATCATAACTACTGATACTGATCTATTATGTAGGCACAATACATAATATACATAGATACAAAAACACTTACAGAACAGTATGTATCACTATTATCTATTAGCACAAACTGTATATACATACATTTCCAACAGTTTTTTTATTGCTTTGACACAAAGGGCATTCAGAAACCAAATCTATCAAACTTCATGAACTGTTTTCCCACTCAAACTCAACCCCCATCAAACATCTGTGTATTTACTCTCACATATTGCACATTTACATTCCATTTTGAAAAGTTTCCCCCAGTTTAGTCCACCAGTGCTGACTATGTGAAGAGATTAAAAAAAAGTGAAATTTGTATTGAGACTAACTGTAAAACTGCATCAGGTCAGGCTTTATGTCTTCAGCAGTACCAGTAGAGTGAATTTAAATTACATTTTGATTAGGAACAAATATCCTTCTAATGCCTAAGTTGCCAGTGATTGAAGGTTTGGGTATAGAGCTCTAAAACCCGCCAGAGGTAGAGATTAAGACGGTTCTGCTGTTCCCCTTATCCCTGGGGAGGATATTTGTGTTATCAGTGGTTCCAGGTAAGAGTGTCCGGTCTGACACTGTGAGCTCTGGGCTTTTATCTTTCATTGGAAAGACGTGCGCCAAGCAGAGAGGCTTACTCTCTGCTTGGCGCACGGATTGGGGTAAACCCCTCTGACGGGTTTGT